CACACACACACGCTACGATTAAAATCACGGACGTTGAAAAAGTACTGTGAATGAAATGGGACTTACATACATTCTCCAGGGGACAATCATTTAGTTTAGGGGAGTGAGTGAGTGAGTTAAAAAAATAACGTCACCTCGGTTTTACATACACAATAAATACAAGCAGTTGAATAACCATTCATCAAATGACTGTAAAATAACTAGAATATCACAGATGGTATTTAAAACTTGCATGTAAACCTAAAACTATTTTATGTACGAAGACAATACAATGTTAAAACGGGTTATAAGTCGCCAACAACTGAGGGTAGATCACCATACTAGGGACCATTTTAGGGAGAGTACAAAACAGATGAAAACAAGAAGACAAAGTCATCAATATCCCCCGCAACGGCACAATACTCTTTATGAATACGTCTACAGTGTATACAGCAAAGGAAGGAGAGTATTGAAGGGTTTTTAAGATCTGCTCCAGAAAGGAGCACTGCCACCAAATTCAGTTGAAGCCTAACTTGTTGTCATGGAAATGCAACAAGATGACATCCTCATAGTCACAGCCTGAGCCATGTCTCGGTCTAACCCCCAAAAGGCAGATCTAGGGATCATGCTTGGCATATGTACCAAGTTTGATAAAGCTAGCATGTATATATAGTTTGGGAGATCTGCCCCGGGACTAGATGTGATCCTCATAGTCACAGCCTAAGTCATGTTTCCGTGAAAACAGCAAAACATTTAATTCATATCTGGGTCTAACCCCCAAAAGGCACATCTAGGGATCATGCTTGGCATATGTACCAAGTTTGAAAAGCTAGCATGTATAGTGTGAATGCAGATTTTGTTTTCAATGCTAATTGGGAATTCTTTTTATAATTTTCTTTTCCAAAAGTAGTTTTCTGTCATTTAAGTTATATTTCAATTATATTCTAACAAGTTACCAAAAAGCAAGAAGTAATTTCAAAGGTCTTTTCATGTAATCAGTTTACATAAGAGCCTAGCAGTAAGTCTAGAGAGGAACCAGGGCATTGTGTGGTCATGTGACCTAAAGCATGTGCAGTTCATGCAATCCAGCCACATGGCACAACAGTGGAAGGCCTCAAGGTGTACAGATGTGTGAACAGAGATGGTCTCTGGTGTGAATGACAAGAGTGTTGGAACACAAATGTAAGTTTATTTCATGTATTTATGGTTATCCGTCAATTCTGAAGGTTTGAGTAATGACTTATTTTGAGTATAGTATTTTATCATGCTTATGCTTATTGAATAGGAATTTCAATTCTGAAGTAATGTTTGCATTTCATTGCAGAAATAATTCTATTCTCAATTCATGTTTCATTTGAATTATCATTCAGCCAAGGTAACTACTAACACAGCAGTAATTGTGCCGTAAAGTTAAGCTGCTGTAAGTAATTTGTTTGAGAAACTGTTTTATGGTACTGTCAAAGCATATTTAGTAAGGTATTTTTTTGTTTCTTTTTTAGTTTCTGAACCTCGCCATTTAATGAACAATGGTCTATCTAAAGGCTAATGGGGGAGACCAGCTTTAATGTTACCAATTCATGGATTTGTGTAGTATTGTGCCGTCAGTTTCTAACCGTCCCTTGACATGTGGACTTCAATGTCGTCAAGGTTATATTGCCAAATTGTCACCAGTACAACCAAATGCCACAACGTTAATAAATGAACATGACGAATATGCTCCAGTGAATAAACTTTGTTAAATGGTGTGAGTTTTTCGTATTTGAAGTTCTTGCATCAACACTTAGTTCAGAAAATTTATGAAATTAAAGTATGAACTTGTGCACCATATGGACATTGATGAAATACATTGCATAGTGATAGCTGTCAAGTGGCTGTACATGTACTGCATATTTAACTGAATGTTCAGTAGATATATTGACAGCTTTGGCAGCAGGTGGCAATTTTGACAATATTGTGGTATCTGGTGACAATCCTGATGTTAAACTCGAGGATCCAGGTCAGACTACTGAAGAGGATCCAGGTCAGACCACTGAAGAGGATCCAGGTCAAGCCAATGAAGAGGATCCAGGCCAAGCCACTGAAGAGGATCGAGGTCAAGCCAATGAAGAGGATCCAGGTCAAGCCAATGAAGAGGATCCAGGTCAAGCCAATGAAGAGGATCCAGGTCAAGCCAATGAAGATCCAGGTCAAGACACTGCTGTGGCTGTACACAATACTGAGAGTGGTAATAATGGTGCTGGTGCAACACAAGGACATGGTGCCCGTAAAAAGACACTGACTGAAAAGGGTAAAGCAGAAAAGCTGGGTTTGATGAAAAATAAACAGACTTCTTTGTTGAGGGCTATTACAAAAAAGAGAAATGAACTTTTGAAACTTATGCAAAATGGTTCATGTGATAGTTTGCATTTAGTCAAGTATAGTTACGTTGAGTATAATGACCTTTGTTCTCAGCATGATGCTCAGCTTAGCACCAATTACAGCATGTTGACATCAGAGTCTGAGAATGAACGTCATGAGGACAGAAGGGTTGCATGGGATGAATTTAGAGTTAGCGTTGATAGTTGGATAGAGAGGAGTGAGAGATTGTTAACTGATCAGCTTGAGAATGTTATCCAGGGAGTCTGGGTCAAAAGTGTCAACTAGGTCAGCATTAGCAAAAGAACGTGCTCGTCTAGCAGAACTTAACGCCCAGAAATCTATGCAAGGGGCAATTATGCAGCAACAACAAAAAACTGAAGAGCTAAGATTGGATATGGAAATTGCTAAGGCCAAAGCCAGAGAGAAAGTGTTAGCAGAGTTTGAACTGACACCCTTGTCTAATGTTAAAGTTGAAAACCCTCTATTGAGATTTAGTTATCCACCTGTCAACACTTCATACCAGCCTGAAGCACCCAAAGTAACTTCGTCGTACCAACCTCCAGCTATCAACGTGACGTCATACCCATCTGACGCTCCCAACGTGACGTCATACCCATCTGCTGCTCCCAACGTGACGTCATACCCATCTGCCGCTCCCAACGTGACATCATATCCATCTGCCGCTCCCAACGTGACGTCATACCCATCTGCCGCTCCCAACGTGACATCATACCCATCTGCCGCTCCCAACGTGACGTCATACCCATCTGCAGCTCCCAACGTGACGTCATACGAATCTGTCGGTCCCAACGTGATGTCATCCACTGATCCTAACATGACGCCATTCGTGTCGTCAGTTACACCATCACCTACATCGCTGCCACAACCAGAAGCGCCAAACTTCAAAGGTGACCCTATTGACTTTATCACATTTATGATGGCTTTTGATGCACGAATCGTGCCCAATACTGCAAGGGATGTTGATAGACTCTATTACCTTGATCAGTTGCTAATTGGGGAGTCTAAGGATTTGATATCTGGATGCTTGTATATGGAACCAAGTGAAGGTTACCGTTCAGCACGGTTACTTTTGAAGAAACATTATGGCGATCTTTACAAAGTATCAAATGCCTATGTTAATCAAGTCCTGTCTTGGCCATCCATGAAGAATGATGATTCCGAACAACTTCGACGATTTTCCTTCTTCCTAATCAAATGTAGTCATGCAATGAAAACCATGTCTCACATGGCTGTCTTAAATCATGCCCCAAATCTGAAGGCTGTCATTAGCAAGTTGCCTATGTTCCTACAGAATAGATGGCGAGACCAGGTGATCACACTACGGCTGAAAGGGAGAGAGGTTGCTTTCCAAGATGTAGTGGACTTTGTCCATTTTGCAGCAGAATCGGCCAAAGAACCAGTATTCAGCAAAGAGGAATCCCAGAAAAATGAAAGTACTTCAAGAAGTGGGTTGCAATCTCGTTCAAGTAGACAGAAGTCTAGGTGAAGATAAGCTTTGCTACAAGTGTATCTTCACCTAGAACAGTATCATGCTATTACTGTCGCAAGAATCATGATTTGGATGATTGTCTTGACTTTTTACAGAAATCACTGGACGATAGGAGAAGTTACCTGAAAGAGAAATGGATGTGCTATGGGTGTTATGGATTCAACCATTTTTCCAAAGGCTGTGGAAAGAGAAGACGATGTAAATGATGTGGTAAGCGTCACCCTACTGCCTTGCATGATGACAACTATGTAGCGTCACAGAACCAGTCAATTATAGGCAATCTTTCAAAAGACGTGGCATCTTGCAATACAAACCTGGACTTGGGAGAAATAGTTCTTCAAGCCATCCTTCCAGTTTTTGTCCATCATAAAGGTAAAGACACCTACATAAAGACGTATGCTCTTCTCGATAATGGTAGCACAGGATGTTTTGTCAGTGATAACCTGGCTGAAGAGTTACATGCATCGTCAACCGCTTCATTGTTGAAACTGAAAACCATGCATGGTGTAAATGCAGTCAATACATCCTCAGTAGCAAACCTCATTGTGTCAAACTTAGATGGCCAGAACGACATATGCCTACCAAAATGTTTTACCAGGGAAGATATACCAGTGAGCCATAATCAGATTCCAAATACAAATGTTCTGAAACAATTTCCTCACCTGAAGCAGGTAGCAGATGTGTTGCCAGACTTTAGTCCATCCACTGATGTCGGTCTCTTAATCGGAAGCAACTGCCCTGTAGCACTGCAGCCCCGTTGTATAGTGCCAACTGACAGAGAAAGCCCGTTTGCTGTACTGTATCAACTTGGGTGGACAGTCAATGGCCCTGTTCATGTAAAGTACAACCAAGGAGACAACAACCTTACCTGTAACACAGCCAGCCTTCATGAGGTAGCCAGGGTGACTGAATGTCCCACTCCAGAAAGAATCCTCAAAAAGTTTCATCTGGACTTCAGTGAAAAGGACCAAGGTAAAGAACCTGGCGATAAAGGCAACTCCAGAGAAGATGACCAGTTTCTTAGTATTGCCAAACAGAACATGAAGTTTGTAGACGGACATTTTCAGCTCCCCCTGCCATTTGAAGACAAGGAGGCACAAACAGCAAATAATCGAGAGCAAGCAACGAACGAGCAAAATGGCAGAAGAAGAAAATGTTGGAAAATGATCAGTATCACAGGGATTATGTCGCATTTGTGGATAATTTCTTGGCTTGCAACTACGCCTACAACATACAACCTAGTGAAATCTTCACCTCACCTGAAAGAATCTGGTATCTTCCCAACCATGGCATATACCACCCTAGGAAGCCACAAAAGATCCGGATAGTCTTTGACTGTAGTGCTACCTTTAATGGCTCATCTCTGAATGACAGACTACTGCAGGGTCCTAGTCTCACAAACTCTCTGATAGGCGTCCTTACAAGATTCCGTGCAGAACCAGTGGCATTTATGGCCGATATAGAGGCAATGTTCCACCAGGTAAAGGTGCCCTTAGAACAACATGACCAGCTCCGTTTCCTGTGGTGGCCTGACGACGATCTGCAATTCGAACTCGAGGAATACAGAATGGCAGTCCACATATTCGGTGCTGTATCTTCTCCCAGTATAGCTAACTTTGCTCTCAAAGCTACAGCTGACAAAGCAGAAGAGAAGTATGGAACTGAGGCTGCTGACACAATTAGAAAAAATTTCTACGTGGATGATTGGCTCAAGTCGGCAGCAAATGTAAGGAAAGTTATCCAACTCATCAAGGATGTACAATCAGCATGTGCAGAAGGTGGATTTCGCTTAACTAAGTTTGTATCCAACAGCCGAGATGTTCTTAAATCAAACCCTTCAGAAGATCGTGCCAAACAGATTCAAACTTGTAACTTGGATTACGATGAAATACCCATAGAACGGGCACTTGGTCTTCAATGGCATGTCAGCACTGATATGTTTGGATTCTCAACAGATCTACCTAGCAAGCCGGTGACCAGAAGAGGAATACTATAGACCGTCTCTTCGCTATATGACCCACCTGGTATGGTTTCTCCTGTGATTTTGCCAGCAAAGAAAATTCTACAAGATCTCTGTGTAGACAAAACACTTGGTTGGGATGATGAGATACTACCTGGAGTGAACCACAGATGGAAAGAATGGTTGAGTGGTTTACCGCAGCTCAAAGATCTGAGAATACCTAGATGTCTAAGGCCAGTTGAGATTGGTAGGATTGTATGTAGACAGTTACATCTCTTTTCAGATGCCAGTTCTATTGGTTATGGCTGCGTTGCATACCTGCGTCTACTGGATGAAGGTAAAAACATCAATGTGTCCTTCCTGATGGGCAAGTCAAGGTTGGCGCCAGTAAGAACAGTCACTATCCCTAGGCTTGAACTCACAGCAGTATCAGTATCACTTCAGCTCGGGCAACAACTACTGAACCAGCTCGACATGGAGATTGATGAAGTATCATACTATACTGATTCTACCACAGTCCTTCACTACATCAATAATGAAGCAAAACGTTTCCCAGTGTTTGTGGCCAATCGGGTTCGTTTAATCAGAGATTACTCGCAACCGTCACAGTGGAAGTTCATAGACTTTCGCACCAAGCTAGCTGACATTGCGTCAAGAGGCATGAGTATAGGGCAATTCCTTCATGCTGACACTTGGCTTCATGGACCCAAATTCCTCCACGCTCATGAATCAGAATGGCCAGACTGCTCCATTCCAAGTACACCAGCAGAAACAGTCCAAACCACAGACCTACAACCAGAGATGAATCATTGTATGGAGAAGTTGATCTCTCATTATTCCAACTGGTATCGTTTAAAACGCGCTCTGGCTGTCTACATCTTTCTCAGGGATGTACTTCACTCACGGATCAAGCAGAAACACAAGCTTAAGAAGTACCATAACTCAACTGACCAACCTTTCACGGTGGGACGTCTAGAGGAAGCAGAACTCGTCATTATTAAGTATGTACAACATGTAGCATTTCCTTCCGAATGTGAAAGTCTGTCTGACGTCTCAGGCAAACGAAGCCGAGTGCTGAAAAGTAGTTCCATCTACAAGCTAGATCCCTTCATGGAAGGTAGTGTACTGAGATTGGGCGGCCGCCTTAGCAGACCAGATATTCAGGCTGACATGATGCACCAAATCTTGCTTGCCCATAAAAACCATGTGACAAAGCTCATCATTCAGGACATACATGTCAGACTAGGACATGGAGGTAGGAATCATGTCTTGTCCATTCTCCGAGAAAAATACTGGGTGATTAAAGCCAACTCTACGGTCCGCAATATCCTTTCACACTGTGTCACCTGTCGACGAATGAGGACTCCAGTCTGCAATCAGAAAATGGCAGACCTACCAGCCAGCAGAGTAAATCCGTCACCTCCGTTCACCCACACAGGTATAGATTTCTTTGGGTGAGTGAGTTTGGTTTTACACCGCTTTTAGCAATATTCCAGCAACATCACGGTGGGGGACACCAGAAATGGGCTTCACACATTGTACCCAAGTGGGGAATCATACCCGGGTCTTCGGCGTGATGAGCCAACGCTTTACCCACTAGGCTACCCCACCGCCCCAGATTTCTTTGGGCCACACATGATTAAAGAAGGGAGGAAATATGTCAAAAGGTATGGAGCACTGTTTACCTGTATGGCCAGTAGAGCTATCCACATTGAAACTGCATGTTTACTTCACACTGATTCCTTTATTCAAGCCCTACGACGCTTCACTGTCAGAAGGGGACCAGTCAAACAGAAACTCTGTGACAATGGTACAAATTTTGTTCGAGCAGAGAAGGAACTGCGTGAAGCTGTGATGGAGATGGATCAGGATAGAGTGAAAGAGTATCTCTTGAAGCAGCATATTGAGTGGACGTTTACCCCCCCTGCCGCCAGTCATATGGGAGGGAGCTGGGAAAGAATGATTGGCTCAGTTCGCAAGGTACTTGCTCCTTTGTTGAAAGCGTTTTGCGAGAGGCTAGATGATGAGTCCTACCGGACGCTCCTCTGTGAGGTTGAATAAGTCATCAACTCCAGACCGTTGACCACAGTATCAGATGGCCCTAGTGATCTCAATCCCCTCACCCCTAGTCATCTGCTAATGCTAAAATCTCAAGTGTATTTTCCTCCTCCAGGGCAGTTTCAGAGAGATGACATGTACATGAGACGTAGATGGAGACGGGTACAGTATTTGGCTGGAGTATTCTGGTCACGATGGCGCAGAGAATATTTCCTGACTCTGCATGAACGGCAGAAATGGGCTGTACCCAAACGTAATCTACAAATAGATGATGTTGTACTCATCAAAGACGAGAACTTGCATAGGTCTGAATGGGTGATGGGGCGTGTGATCAGTTGTGAATCTGACAAGTTTGGCTTGGTACAAAGTGTGGAAGTGAAAACTCAGAAGGGTCAGTTGCGTAGACCAGTACATAAACTTCTCTTGTTGCTCGCAAAAGATGAGTAAATGGATGTTGTTCACCAATTTGGTGTGCTGGAGATGGTAAAATATATTGTGAAAGGATATATCTGCATCATTTGTAGGTTTTTTGTTAAACAGTAGGTAACTGTTTAAGAGGCCGAGTATGTGAATGCAGGTTTTGTTTTCAATGCTAATTGGGAATTCTTTTTATAATTTTCTTTTCCAAAAGTAGTTTTCTGTCATTTAAGTTATATTTCAATTATATTCTAACAAGTTACCAAAAAGCAAGAAGTAATTTCAATGGTCTTTTCATGTAATCAGTTTACATAAGAGCCTAGCAGTAAGTCTAGAGAGGAGCCAGGGCATTGTGTGGTCATGTGACCCAAAGCATGTGCAGTTCATGCAATCCAGCCACATGGCACAACAGTGGAAGGCCTCAAGGTGTACATATGTGTGAACAGAGATGGTCTCTGGTGTGAATGACAAGAGTGTTGGAACACAAATGTAAGTTTATTTCATGTATTGGAGGTTATCTATCAATTCTGAAGGTTTGAGTAATGACTTATTTTGAGTATAGTATTTTATCATGCTTATGCTTATTGAATAGGAATTTCAATTCTGAAGTAATGTTTGCATTTCATTGCAGAAATAATTCTATTCTCAATTCATGTTTCATTTGAATTATCATTCAGCCAAGGTAACTACTAACACAGCAGTAATTGTGCCTTAAAGTTATGCTGCTGTAAGTAATTTGTTTGAGAAACTGTTTTATGGTACTGTTTGTCAAAGCATATTTAGTAAGGTATTTTTTGTTTCTTTTTTAGTTTCTGAACCTCGCCATTTAATGAACCTTGCCATTTAATGAACAATGGTCTATCTAAAGGCTAATGGAGGAGACCAGCTTTAATGTTACCAATTCATGGATTTGTGTAGTATTGTGCCGACAGTTTCTAACCGTCCCTTGACATGTGGACTTTTCTTCGTATTTGTAGTTCTTGCATGAACATATAGTTTGGGAGATCTGCCCCGGGACTAGATGATTGTCCTCTGGAGTGGGTATGTAAGTCCCATTTCATTCACAGTACTTTTTCAACGTCCGTGATTTTAATCGTAGTGTGTGTGTGTGTGTGTGTGTTTGTGTGTGTTTCGTGTTGCTTTCCTCGTCCTAGGAACCCATTGGGTTAATGAAATAACACAGAACTCCTCACGGGTGAAATAACTAACGATGACGTCACAATGGCCCAGACCTTCATGGAATTTGCGTCAGAAGTGAAGTATGCCGACCTCAAATCCCCGAGACTCCTCAGCTCTCATTTGCTGATGAAACATCTGCCAGAAGACGTTGTTATTAAGAAAATAAAAATTATCACTATTCTAAGAATATACTATGGAAATTCTTCATGTAATTATTTATTTTAGTCCATATATACCACGAAACCACCTTATTTATTTCTTCTTTAGAAATCTTATCTAGAAGCCGCATTCGTTGTTATTACTCATGCTTATACATTTCTAGTGTATAAGAATTATTTTTATGAAAGTACTATAACGGTAGTCTGTGACTAACATAGAGCAAATTCAAAGCTTGGCACTTTGTTTCATCTAGATTTAATGCAGAAAAAATATACTTATAAAAAATGTATAATACATATTCCTTGCATAGACATAAAACAAAGAGTCACATGATAGGGAATCATCAAATTTCCCGAAAGAAAGTTCGGTATCTCAACTGTTCAATATAGTGGCTGGTCATATGTTATCTGTGACCAATGGTATCATGAGATACCTGTCACAGAGGAAAGGACATGTGATGGGGCGTGGGCGAAATTTCTGAAGAGCACGTTTGGTCACTCAACAGCTTGGATAGAGATTGATTATTGGCTATATCGTTGACCAGTCGATATGCTGGGTTTCGGCCTTATCAACTCAAGCTATTATGTAACACTTTGTGTCTTGTAAACATACACACTGGTAACGATGTATGAAATATACAAATAAGACAAATAGGAGTAGATAGACACTTTGGCGAGTTTATTTGACCTCATTTTAGTGTTTTTCGATAAGTAAAACAAAGCGATTGAAATCCAACCATTGAGTAGAGATAGTATTTATTTTCATATACAATTTACGCACACAACTAGTAAATAAAACATAATGGTTTGCTGTACATGTAAATATAATCTTCATCTTGATACGAGTGAATATCCAAACTAAAGTGGCACCCCTTGAAGAGCAACCTCCCCGTGGTGGGTGCTGGGTAACGCCAATGGCTCTTCACCCCTGTGTGGACCCGGGGTCGAATAGGTCCACAGCACCCCATTGCTGGTCGTAAGAGGCGACCAAATTGGGCAACCCGTTTGCCGTGGGTTGCATCCCTGTGTCGGCAGAGGAAGGGAGTCTGGTGGTTGAGGATGACGGAACCGCCAATAGTGTTCACTAATCCAACACACCACTTCGACCCTAACTTTGCCTAGACGGGTGGTAGAATAGGCCCTATTCTACCAATCGGCTGGTCACGCCTTGCCCTGTGCATGGAATGTCTATACAAAACGTGGTATTACATAACACTTTTGACCATGTTCAAAATGTTAACAACTATTCTACGAAACAAATTAGCCTCACAGACCCATGCACAGAAGGCGGTGGCTCATGGGCCAATCTGGTGATGCTGACCTCCGATTTCTGTACGTCTCCAATTGATTGTCATGGACAGAACCATCCTGACCTTTAATCTGGTAGGCAGCTACAGCATTTCATGTCAAATTCGCTGGAGTATAACATCCCCTTATCCCTGGTCTTTGCAGCTTGGAGATCCGCTGCAATATAAGATTATCCTTGTTGACACTCCACGGTGGGTGGGGAGAGGGGATGCCGAACCACATTACCTACGACATGGCTTCCCAATACCCCGGTTCAAAACGAAGACATATGGATACCGACAATTCCTCGTCTGACGAGAGTACGCCCCCCCGACCTGACTACTGGCCACGCTTCCTGATTATTGAGGCTTGTGACAAGCAACCTTTGCAATTGAACCCTTTTGCAATCTCCAAAGGTATCGCTGGTATCTGCGGAGAGGTTGCCAATGTCACAAAGCTCCGATCTGGCTCTCTCCTGATAGAATGTACCCGGAAACACCAATCTTTAAATCTTCTCAAAATACAAGAATTTGTAAATATCAAGGTCGCTGTCTCAGCACACAAAACCCTTAATTCGTGTAGAGGCATTGTACGGGACAGAGCTCGATGCCTGTCTGACATGACTGAAGAACAAATTGTCAACGAACTCTCACAGCAATCCGTCACAGCCGTCAAACGATTTACCTTCAAAAAGGATGGTGTTGTTCAACCAACGAACACCTATCTCTTCACGTTCGCGCGAGCAAACATTCCTGACTCGATTAGAGCTGGTTATTGTAGCATTGGTGTGGAGGTGTATGTCCCCAATCCACTCCGGTGCTACAACTGCCAAAAGTTTGGACATGGATCCAAGTCCTGTCGTTCCTCTGCTGTCTGTTACCGCTGTGGTGACAAGCATGAGGGCAACGACTGTACTAAGGAAGTGAAGTGCACAAACTGCGGTGGTAACCATATGGCCTCTTCCAAGTTCTGCCCAGTATGGAAAAGCGAATCCGAGATACTGAAGATTAAACACAAAGAAAACATCTCCTTTCACGAAGCAAAGAAGAGGGTTGCAAGTCTAACTGCAGCCCCTTCAACCATCACCTACTCTGCTGCTGTCTCCCGTCCTACCATCACTACTGCAACCATCTCATGTCAGACCGACCTGACATGGGTCACGTCTTCTCAGCCAACTGAACTCAACACAACTCAGCCTATCTCAGCAACTCCATCTCCAACGCCAAAAGTCAAAACCTCTGAATCACAAACACCAGAGCAAATGCCAAAACCAGAGACAGAAACTGCGCGCTGAAAAAGGGAAAAAAAGAGGCTAGAGAGACTAAAGCAACTCGAACAACCGCCAAACACAAAACCAAAGGCCACCTCTCCCTCAGAGGTCCCCATCGAGGTCCATAACTCCTTTGGCCCTCTGGATATGGAGATAATAATAGGACACCAATAGGAGTTCATCAAACGCTTCCTCACGTTCACGTGACATGTCACCAGTGGAAGCACCATGAACCCACAAAACATTATCCAATGGAATTGCAGAGGACTTAAGAATAATTATAATGAATTACAGCTATTGATTCAAGACTTCAAACCATATGCGTTTTGTCTCCAAGAAACCTACCTAAAAAAGGACCGATAAATTTGACATCCGTCAGTACAGTTCCTACCACTCCTTTTCTCCTCCCGGTGTAAAAGCTACAGGAGGCACTTCTATCCTGGTGAGGCAGGGCATCCTCCATAGCCCTGTTCCACTTAACACCAACCTACAAACTGTTGCTGTCCGCATAACTCTGAACATAGGGTTTACACTATGTTCCCTCTATCTCCCTCCCACCTCAACTGTCCGCCTATCAGATCTTCAGAACTTATACGATCAACTCCCAAAGCCCTGCATAATCATGGGCGACTTCAACGGCCATAACCCCCTATGGGGGGAGTAATGATACAAATAGTAAGGGAAAGATCCTT